AAACCAAGATAACATATGGACCACGACTTCTGTGACTAATTTGTAAAACATATCTGAAAGATATGCAGAAAAACAGAAAAGGTTCAGTGTTCGATGTAGTCAGGTAAAAATATGCCACAGAATGGTTAAGTGTAGGAAGGATCTCTGAATGTCATTTAGTCCAGCCTCCTGGCTAGAGCTGGTTGCTCAGGGCTTTGTGAAGTCTTCAAGGATGGAATGTCTCTGAGCAGCTGTTTTGAATGATGGAAAGTAATTCTTTATGTCTAATCAGAATTGCCTATGTCCCAGTTTTGGTTCCAGCTGAGCTTTAGCTTTCTCAGAGTGTTAAGGCAATGTCTTGGTTTCCCCAGGTAGCTAGTTCCTGCATTGATATTTTTCTGCTATTCTTGCTTGACCTTTTGCATGTTAGAAAGGACCATTGATGTTCTATGAGGAGGTTGTCATTGAAAATTAACCAGTGTTCAATGAGAGTCTCTTTGTCTCCCAGGGCCATATCTCATGGGGGATGGGATCCCATGGGATCCCATGGGCCTAAACAAGCCCCAAATCTGCTTTCCTGAAGCGTGGATTGTAGTTGTATAATTTGTCTTGCTCGTTTGACTCATGACTTTGAACTCCATAATGACATGGTTGTTGTGGCTAAGGTTCCGCTCGACATCCACATTCCCAACCAGCTCTGGCTTTCTCCTGGAAGCAGGTCCAGCAGACCACCTCCCCTAGCTTGTCAATCACTTGTTAATCTCAAGATTGTATCAGAATAGTTTATCAGCATGTCCTCATCAGTGTATTTCAGCAATATGTCTGCATAACACCTATTTCATGACTAATATACATGAGTTCTATACATGAGTTCTAAACAGCTGAAAACTACACACTAGCAGCTGAATTGGAACATACTGCTGATGTTAACTGTGCTTTTTTCTCACCAGGACCTGGCCTCGTGGTCCAGATGCTTTTTGAAAAAGTATCTAAGCACATGACTAAGATACGATTAGAAAGATTCTGGTGCACCCAGTTTAGTCATCTGCTTTCAGAGTAAGATATATCATATGAGTCCTTTCACAGGGATATTAACATCCTTTCTAAAAATTATTTAGCTTCTTCTTCTTCATCTTCTTCTTTTTCCTCTTCTTCTTCTTCTTCTTCTTCTTCTTATTACTATCATCATCATCATCATCATCATCATCATCATCATCATCATCATTATCTCCCTTCACTAGTATGGAAGGAATCTTGCAGGAAATTCTGGTTACAGTAGGAAATCTTCAGATTTTTAACCTAATTGTATTCCTCTTTGGTATGCATTCGTTCTTGCTGCTGTAAATTTACTTCATTGTGAAAAACTCTGCTTTTCTCCTGAGATTTGGTGTTCTGGTGTATATATGGAGAG